GTGGCTGAATTGTCAGTAATTGGCAATGTAGCTGACTGCGTCTAAATCCGAGACGAATAAAACAGACATGTGCAACTACCTTTGACGCTTTAAGCTGAGCCACCTTCCCAAACATCAGATAAAATTCAATTTAAATGTTGTCAGTTTGACGTTACTAAAGGAGTTCAAGTCCAGATGGTGGTCTCGAGAAAACTCGGAACTCATGGGCCTGAAGAGCATACGAAGGAAACGAGTAAACAGGACACAGGAGTAGGAACGACCCACAATAAAGTCTGCTTTGCGCCAAATTTCGGACATATTAGGTTAAGGATTAAGGTGAGGGTAAGACCTACGGTTTGGGTTGGGGTTAAGGCCAGAGTCGGGAGATGTGTCGGGATTGCCTCAAGAGTTAAGGTCTGAATTCGTGTTAACGGTAGCATTTAGGTTTGAAGCTGGGCGGGGCTACAGGTAACAGATTAATTTTATATTGGGATTAGCGCCTGGGTTAAGACGTAGGAATATTTATTAGGAGAGGATTGGCAGATTTCAATAAGTCAATCGACCCAACTGTGAAAACTTCGCGGCCTAACTGGATTCGATCCCACGTCAACAAGGGAAGGCCTTAGTACAGTCAGTACAGGAATTATCACCGTTCCTTAAATTTATCTTAAGTTCGCCTATTTTAAACGGGTGGGGCGTTCCTGCTCCCGTGTCCTGCTTAGGCGGTCATACAAGTCATCCTAACCGAGCATTTTTAAATGGATTTTTCAGATGATAATGTCTACCTTATCACTTATTTCGCTTTGAATGCTCTAAATATCTAATCATATGAATTGGCATGCGTATATACGCATCTCAATCTCGGTCAGGTTAACTATCAAATGCCAATCAAGATTCTTTCGACCGTATCTGAATTCAAGTCGAAAATACTTCGTGACCGTTTTATCAGCATCCAGGAGAAGCATGATTGCGCTGCTGTCCTTGCAAAGCATTAAACATGACATATATGGAAGGAACATAAAAGCATGAAAACACTTCTCTGGAGATTTATTATCTTGAATTTGCGAAACGTAATTTATGTCCGACTTTCATATTCTTCTTCCTTTTTTTGAAGCTTCCTGTTATCACTTTTTTTCTCTTTTGGACTTCTGAAGGCCACTATCCAAAAAGGTGCGGGCAGGTCTCAGCTGAATGTCTTCAAACGAAGCTGCAAAACGAAGTTTACAAAAAGGCTGCGTGCCCTTACGTTTGCAATTTATGAATTTCAGGGAAGCATGCATGTGAACTCCTCCTCGATAACTCCAGTCGAGGAGGTAGAAGAAAAGCATTTATGAAATAGATGGACCAAGTTGAGTTCTCACCGTCATGGCGGTCACGTCGGTGTCCGTTGTGATAATTCGAACGTAGACCTGCGCTACAGCTGAGAGCGCGGGAACACCCTTGTCCTTGGCTGTGACGAGGAGGGTGTACTTGCCCAACTCCCTGTTCACCAGCATCTGGTCCTGCCGCAGGGCCTGACAGCGCAAAGAGAGACCATCGGCAGCAACCAAACTGACCTCGCCGGAGCGTGGTTCAATATCGAACCAGGGCAGGTCGTATTCGCGACCCTTGGGGGTGGCCGTCGCCTCCTGACGATGAGGCAGGGGGGACGAGGCCTTCTTATCGTCAGTTGGGATTTGTATGGCGGAGGCAGGGTCACCATCCTTGTTAAAGTTGACGGAATACTCGATTTCAGCGTTGAGACCCTTGTCCGAGTCGTTGGCGACTACCTGGATGACGACTTTTGGCAGTGTCAGGATGTCAGTACATGTCAGGGTAACGGTGCCCTAAAAGACAGCATGCACATCAGAAATACATTCGGTTAGTTCAAGTATGCATTACAAACATGAGTCATTTTCGGGAGACATTTGCAATTCTGTCGTGTTATGTTCTTAGAATGGGAAACTAAGTTTCATGTTTATCCTTCATATCTACTGAAAAGGCCAGGGTGGAGAGTTTATCGAAACAGAAGGATCTGATTTGCTTGATTGGGCTTGTAGGCAGTCAGTTATTAAATTATATAATGAAATCCTCAGGGTGTTGAAAGATTCTCAAGCACGTGATTTTCCCCCTGTTCTTTTTTAACAGGGACGCCCTCAAGCAGAATGGAGCCCAGGAGAAAGTATCTAACGGGAAGGATGTGTAATTGTCCGAACGAGTGTTTTATGCGCTTGATGCTTCAGATTGGCATTCGAATGTACCATCAAAGATAGAAGCGAAAAAGTGTATTTCACTTCCTGGGGATGGGCAGCATTTGTCCATCAGAAAACGAATTATACCAACCATGTAGGTGGGCCATTCGAACCGTTGTCAGTTCACGTTATACATGCTATTTGAATAATGCATCAAATCTACTTTTGAAAAAAATACGACAGCCTCGGTGGCATTCGAATACCTGGCAGCAGAGAATTAGCAGCTATATTGGTAAAAATTAAACTAATTTTAACGTAGTTCACCGTCTTTGTGCCCACCACATACGAATGCGTTAGAGCTGAATCGTATGGCCGCCTAAAGGCTAAAATGCCGTAGAAAACAGGTTAAAGATTAAGGTGGGGATTAGGTTTAAGTTCGGGATTAAGGTCACAGCTGGGGTTTTCGATCGGAATAATGCTTAGTGTTAAAGTTTCGGTTCGTGTTAGTGACAGAATTAAGGTTTGGGGTTGGGCTGGGCTTAAGGATAATGTTACAGTTTAATGCTATATTAGGGGTTGTGTTAGGGCAAGGACACAAACATTAACCCTACCTTAGAGCAATCTTTTTATAAGTAGGTGAAACATCAATTTTCCCGCGTCCTGCTGACGCCATCCTTCAAGATATGCTTTTTGAGGACTTTTCAATGGACTTTTCAGATGAGGATTTATATCTTATTACCTTTAAAATGTTCTAGAGGAAAATATACAATTATTTTAATAAGCACGCACAAAGGCTCCAGTCTGCGTCAGGTTGCCAACCAAAACGAATCCGTCCGCGCCTAAGTGCAACTGAAACATACTGCATGTGTAGCATAACCGTGTGCTG